GGCCCCAGAGGATTGTGAGTTGCCTTCCTCTTATTATCAGCATTTTATGTTGCTTGTTGAACAGCTTGGAATGTATTGTAAAGGTAGAACTATTGTATAAATCTAAGGCCTTCTTACATATCCTATAGTAACATATGTACCTGTTGCTTAGCACTGCACGATAAAGCACTGATGTATTATAGTCACCTTCATCCCAGAAATATACTTTATGTTGCTGTAGAATTAGAACTAATGTATATTGTGCACCTTCAGCTGAAGAGTTATGATAATTCCACTGTGTGAATGGCACTCCCAGTCTTTTTGTTGACTCTGCTTCTCCTCCATACCTATACCAAGGGCAGGTTACCATTAACTCCCACCTGGAATACTGGAATAAACTTTAAACTGTTTTCCCTTCTACCCTAGCTGCCCAAACTGCGGTCTACTCTTCAACCATAATTACATATTTTGAAAAATTCAGATCTGATCGTGGTCCTCCCTTGCTTAAAACGCAGCTGTCACTTCTCATTGCTATAAGGTTAAAGATCTCAATTCTCCAGCGTTATCCTCCGTTATATTCTACCCTTCTTTCTCTCTGTGTCCCAGCCACGGTCTTAGATACTTGTCGCTATGATCAATAGCTTTCATGAGGTATAATTAATACATGATAAACACATACATAAAATATACAATTTGATAATTTTGGATATATATGGAGACGTGAAGTCATCACCACTGTCAAGATAATTAACGTTCACCACACGCGAGTCTCCTCATGCCACTTTGTATTTCTTTATTAAGAAACTACTCAATTGTTTTCCAAAGTATTTCTATGATTTTCCATCCCCATCAGCAGTATCTGACAGTTCCAGTTGCTCTGTTTTGTCACAAACACCATGTATTGCCATTTTTTTAAATTTTTAATTTTTAGGCATTCTGATGGGTATGTATTGGGCATATCATAATGGTTTCCATGTGCATTACCCTAATAACTAATAATGTTGAGCATCTTCCCATGTGCTTATCAGCCATCTGTATAACTTCTTTGTGAACTATCTTTTCAATTC